AATGAAAAAATTATGGAAATCCTTGTATTAAGGTTGACATAATTTTCAAAAACTCTGTTTATAAACAATATATAACGGGTGTATCATGCTGTGGTGGGGAACTTTCTTAAAATTAAAAATGAAAGTTGTTTTTTTTTTACCTTGTGTTTCATTTATTCAGTACGAAAGCCCATTGGGCTCATTTTGGTAGGTAAAAAAAATAAAAATTTCGCGTTATAACGCGAAACGTTCGCGTTAAAACGCGTAACTTTCGCGAATAAACGCGTAACTTTCGCGTTATAACGCGAAACGTTCGCGTTATAACGCGTAACTTTCGCGAAATAACGCGTAAATTTCGCGTTATAACGCGAAACTTCTGCTGTTAAACCATGATATTTGCTTAAGTCTCAACTTTCTTTTGATTTTGTGATCAAGTTTTTTTATTACAATGATAAGCAATTAAAGCTATTTTAAACTTGGACTATTTCAGGCAACAAGTTTAAGTTTTCTTCCTATTGAAGCCATCTTTACCGTCATAGATGGTCTTTCTCAGCGCTGTTCAAAGAATTCAAAGATTATGCGAGTTTTCCAAAAGTTAAACTTCAATCCCTATTATTATAAATATAAAGATTATGAATTTCGGGGAAAAACACCCTTTCCGGCGTCTTTAATTATGCACTCTCTAGAAAATTTGAAATAATTTTATTTTATAAAGAACAAGATCTCAGAATTGTTAAAATTGGATAGTAGATTTTCATTTGTCTCCCTTAGATTCACTATAGAAATACGATATCGGAAAAATATTGACAATTAATTCAAAGTGTACAAACTCTGTCGTATATACCTTAATAGTTTTAATTTTTGGCCCTAGTCCACGAATTTCTCTACAACCCCTCCGGATAAATTTGTTATTAACAACATACAATTATAATTGTTATTTAAATAGCATCATATGGCCCGTCAAGCTCATGAAGTGATACACTGTTCATTAACTTTTAAGTTATGTTTCTATAGGGTAAAAATTTTAGTAAATTTACTAGTGGTACAGTTGTGCATGTAGAAGGTGTTACTGATTAAAAAACAGCCTGAAAAAAGTTTCAAGTGGTGATTTTTCTTTAAAAATAATCAGTCTAAAGAATTTCTTGAATTTAAAATTTGAAAAACATGCAAAAGAAAAAAACATTTTATCAATTGGTAAGGTTTAAAAATAGAAGAAAATATTCTGATGACTAATCTATTCTATTCTCGCATCATTTCTCCAGTACATCTTCTGAAGAAGTTATATTTTATAAATAGTTCCGGTCTGTTTTCTTGTTCTTATCTGTCAATCAAGATCAAGGTTCCTGAGTAACATTATTATATATTATATATTATTTCGCGAAATAACGCAAACGTTTCGCGTTATAACGCGAAAGTTACGCGTTTATTCACGAAAGTTTCGCGTTTATTCGCGTTAAAACGCGAAAGTTACGCGTTATAACGCGAAAGCTACGCGTTAATTCGCGAAAGTTTCGCGTTATAATGCGATTTTTTTTACCTACCAAAATGAGCTCAGTGGGCTTTCGTAATTCAGAAAAGTACTCTTAAAATTATAAAAAATAGTTCTCGACAGATTCCTAATTTAAAGACTCTCTTATTATGTATCAGTCGAAAACGATATATTTAACAACAGCTTATAGAGACAAAAGAGTTACATTATTGGTAACATATAATGCATATTAGAATACAAAAACAGGAAACAGGTGACTCCGCCTCACCTTTAGAAAGAAAAACATAGGTAATCAAAGATTTCGAAGCTCATCTTTCTCAAGTTTTGTTTAAATAGAACTTAGGGTTCACTGGGGATTGACCTGTTCCAAAATTTTTAACCTGCATGGTCATATATTTTGAAAATGTAGGTCAGATCCAGCATCTGAAGCAAGTATCGATTTTCCATCTTCAGATGCATCATCCATGCAAGTTTGGTCCAGGTCAGGCTTATAGTTTCTTGGGAGTCACTCATCTGGAAAATGTAGGTCAGATCCAGCATCCGAAATAAGTTTGGTAGTGTCATTATCCATGCAAGTTTGGTCCAGGTAAGACTAATAGTTACTTGGGAATAACTAGGTTACTCATCTGAAAAATGTAGGTCAGATCAAGCATCCAAAGCAAGTCTGGTAGTGTCCATTCCTAGATACATCATCCATGCAAGTTTGGTTTGGATAGGGCTTGTAATTATTTGGGAATGGACCTACTACGAAAAACTTTAACCTGGTCAGTCATCCGGTAAATGTAGGTTAGATCTAGGATCCGAAGCAAGTTAAGTAGCGTCCATCATTAGATGCATCATTCATAAAAGTTTGGTCCACGTAGGCTTATAGTTACTTGGATTTAGACCTGCCATTTTCTTCCAGTACCAATTTTTTTACATTCTATGCTACATTTCCCTATTATCCATTACCTGTAGTATATACGGATGGGGGACCAGTCTTTTAATGGTAAAAGTATTGCTGGGGAAAAAAGTGGTGGTGGCAGGCCCCCTGCCCTGCCCCTTCCCCCTGTTTCTACACACCCGCCACTTAGCCACGCGGGTGACATTTAAATTATGAAGAAAGTAGTATGAAACGACACAAAATTAAATACTTCCTTTCTAGACGTTTCAACCAATCAGAACGGAAATCTCAAGATTTTCTTTTATTCCCAAACACACAAAAAGCAAATCTGAACACACGAGAATAATGAATTTCAAATTATAACAAACTTTTATTCACAAAGGTAACTTAATTCTCTATCATTGCATTGCATACAAGGGTCACTCTATTGAATTTTATTGTTCTATTTATAGAGTTTTTTTTTTAAAATCATATTATTTCTGTTTAACTCAATCTTCATATAAATGTGTTTATGCACACAGATAAAATTGTCTTTATTCTGTTCAAACACAATTATTTAATCAAAATATAAATAAGAATAACATATCTAAAAACAGGCATATGAATTAGATTATCTGTAGATAAAATATGTATCTACTACGTCGATACTTGTTTGTAAAAGCAATATATTATTTTCAATAAATTAAGATTCTAGTATTGGAATATAGAACTAGTATCACACATGAAGTATACATATTGTCAAAGAACCCCTCCCTTATTGTAGGTACTTTATTCTCTTGATCATTCCCTTTATACACTCCCCGACCATTAATTCCCCCTCCCTAACGACACACACGGCCCGTGGTCTCCGTATCCCCTGATCAGGAATGATGTACCTCAGGAATCGGCCGTCCCTGTCCAGCATGTGAATCTTGTCTTTATAATAGTCTGTGATGATGATGTGATGCATGCTGTCTGTGGTAAGGGAACTGACGTCAAATTTCTCCTTTGATGCTTTGTTTCCTGTGTAGGAGAACCTGAATATCCCGAACTTGTCAACGACTATGACGGCTTTTTTATCGTAGTCAGCTACACAAATGTCACCGTTACCATTCTCCACCACGTAAGTTGCATCCTTAAACAGAGGCTGGTACTGAGAGTCGTACTGGATTTCCTGCAGCACGTCACCGGAACTGCTGTATCTTACGACCTTGGACTCTGTTTGATCTGTTGTCCGGAGACAGACCAGGAAGTCACGTGCCGCGGTACAGGTGATACCGTGAGGATGCCACTCCCCGGTACTGAACAACGTGTCTACTTTACCGTTTATAACCTTCTTAACGGTCTTGTCATTAATATTGGTGTACACCACGTGTCCATCATGAAGTGTCAGGTAACCACCATAATCCGTGATGGTGACAGTGTCGTGGAGACGTCCTTGAAGATCAAACAGCTTCAGCTCTTTACTGGCTCCTCCTGCCCACACTTTGTCATCACCGAGGGGAACCATGTCATACAGACGGCTGTTGTATTCTTTACTAGCTGGAAACTCTGTATCAAAGGAGGACAGAACTGTAGGTACATCTAGAGCTTGTCGTGATGAAGGGGTTTGATCTTGTTGTGTAAGATCGTCAATTGACAGTTTGTGTGTCTGTAGTGTCTCTATGTAACCGAAGTTATAACTTTCATTAAACTTCAAAGGTTGGAAGAATGCTGGCTGTGTTTCTTCAATAAAGGATGGAATCTGTTGATTTTCAAGTTCATGCGTTATTTCCATTAAACCAGAGACGTTTTTGGAAATTGCCAAGCTGTCGACTTTTTCTTCAAGATTTTTCAATTTCTTAAATATTTCGTCAAATTCCTTTTTCTGCAGAAGTAGAAGTTTTGCATGTTTTTCTTGCAATTCATCTAATTCTTTGTACATTGCCTTCTCTGTTTTATCAATTTCCTTATGCAAGTTTTTGGCATGTAATGAAATCTTGCCTTTTGTTTGTTTGTAAACACTTCGAAGTGATGCCGATCTTTTACCTAAATGTTCCAGAATTTTCTCCAGTTCTGTTCTCATTATCTTCAGCCGCTCATTTTCTGTCGCAATGAATTCGGATAAGTCAACTTTTTCGGATAATTCGCATATTTCATGAGCTCCATGTTTGATCGATACACATATGACACAGATAGAAATATCACACGTCTTGCAGAAGGCGCTACACTTTTGCTGGGGATGGGCCAGGCATTCTCCATATTCGGGTTTGTTTTCTACGTTGTATTTGGTAACATGGTGGCCAGTTTTAGATTTGAGAAGAAGGTGAGGTTCTACACATGCATGGCATAAATTTACGGGGCATCGTTTGCACGTGAAAACGACAGGACCTTTACAAACACCACATTCAATATAATGTTGACCTTGTTTTAATACGGAGGAAGCCATCCTTTTATCTAGAAATAAAATAAGGAAAATGTTAAGTAACAAGAGGCCCATGGGCCTTATAGGTCACCTGAGCATTATCCAACAACTTTCCAGCAATTTAATTTGATTAATGTTTTAAGCAAGATGCTATGACATTCACAATCTTGAAAGAGGCACCATTTAATCATCATAACAATACACTTGGCAGTTGCTTAGTTTGTTTACTTAATACCCATAGGCAGGGTGGGGGAACAAAAAATGCATTTCAAGTAATCAGTAATATTCAGCAATAATCAGTAATGCGCCCCTTTCACACATGAACCCCTGACCCTTGGACCTAGATCCACACATTGCACAATTTTTGAAAAGGCACCCTTGCTTTTCAAAAATATTTGATTAATACCAAGGAGCAGATCTCAAACAATTCATCCAGTTTCAGTATATAAGTACATCCCCCCCCCTATGGTACCCCTGACCCTGGGGTCTTGAAATTCACAATTCTGGAAGATTAGGGTCCTTGCTCATCATAACTACATAGGTAGTTCATCTGCTTAATACCCAAGAGCAGAGAAGAAAATTTTCAAAGATTTAATGTATTTTCACTATATAATCAATAGAGCCCCACCCTATCACTAGAACCCCTGACCCTAGGGCCATTAAATCAAAATTTTTGAAGAAGTATTCTTGCTCATCATAACTATGTACTTAGTTTATTTAATTCCTAGAAGCAGAAAAGAATTTTTTTTAAAGAATTCATGTATTTCCATTATATAATCAATAGAGCCCCACCCTTACACTAGAACCCCTGACCCTGGAGCCATAAATTTCACAATTTTTGTTAGAGGCACTCTTGCACATCATAACCATGCACTTAGTTAGTTTATTTAACACCCAGGACCAGAGAAGAAGATTTTCAAAGAATTCATGAATTTTCACTATATAATCTAAAGAGCCCCGCCCTAACACTAGAACCCCTGACCCCGGGGCCATAAATTTCACAATTTTGGTAGAGGCACTCTTGCTCATCATAACTATGCACTTAGTTAGTTTATTTAATACCCAGGAGCAGAGAAGAAGATTTTCAAAGAAATAATGCATTTTCACTATATACTTATTTAGCCCCACCCTAGCACTAGAACCCCTGACCCCGGGGCCATAAATTTCACAATTTTGGTAGAGGCACTCTTGCTCATCATAACTATGCACTTAGTTAGTTTATTTAATACCCAGGAGCAGAGAAGAAGATTTTCAAAGAAATAATGCATTTTCACTATATACTTATTTAGCCCCACCCTAGCACTAGAACCCCTGACCCCGGGGCCATAAATTTCACAATTTTGGTAGAGGCACTCTTGCTCATCATAACTATGCACTTAGTTAATTTATTTAATACTCAGGACCAGAGAAGAAGATTTTCAAAGAATTCATGAATTTTCACTATATAATCTATAGAGCCCCGCCCTAACACTAGAACCCCTGACCCTGGGGCCATAAAATTCACAATTTTGGTAGAGGCACTCTTGCTCATCATAACTATGCACTTAGTTAGTTTATTTAATACCCAGGAGCAGAGAAGAAGATTTTCAAAGAAATAATGCATTTTCACTATATACTTATTTAGCCCCACCCTAGCACTAGAACCCCTGACCCCGGGGCCATAAATTTCACAATTTTGGTAGAGGCACTCTTGCTCATCATAACTATGCACTTAGTTAGTTTATTTAATACTCAGGACCAGAGAAGAAGATTTTCAAAGAATTCATGAATTTTCACTATATAATCTATAGAGCCCCGCCCTAACACTAGAACCCCTGACCCTGGGGCCATAAAATTCACAATTTTGGTAGAGGCACTTTTGCTCATCATAACTATGCACTTAGTTAGTTTATTTAATACCCAGGAGCAGAGAAGAAGATTTTCAAAGAAATAATGCACTTTCACTATATACTTATTTAGCCCCACCCTAGCACTAGAACCCCTGACCCTGGGGCCATAAATTTCACAATTTTGGTAGAGGACTCAATGCTGATTACAATAATGCAAACAGTTTAACTGCTTGATGTCCAGGAGTAAAGAAGAAGATTTTTAAAGATTGCATTAATTTTAGTAGTTTTTGCCCCACCCCCCAGGCCCCAGGGGGGCAAGGACCATGAAATTCACAATTTTTGTTCCCCTTCACCCATAGATGCTTTGTGCCAAATTTGGTTAAAATTGGTTCAGTGGTTGCAGAGAAGAAGCTGAAAATGTTCAAATGTTAACGGACGACGCACGCACGCGCACGACGCACGACGACGGACGAAAACAGATAGCAATAGGTCACCTGAGTTTACTCAGGTGACCTAAAAATGTTAGTCCACTTAATTATTTTGGTTATATATACTAGTAATTAAATAGAAAAAGAATATTTACTTTCATTATAATTATCTTCCTTTTTAGAAAGTTTTTGAACTATTTAAATTCAAACACATGGTTTTTTTTCAGTTGCCGAACTGTTGCTCTCTGCTTTTCTCTCTCATAAAGCTACAGTTTTTCACCCAAAATAAAAAAAAATATATGTTATATCTTTTCGAAATTAAAACCCCTTACATTTTAAAATCTTTTTTCCCGTATCAGACAATGTCAGCAAGCAAAAAGGTTTTGTCAAAATTCGAATTTTGTAACCTAGATAAAATTAACATAAGTCAAACGAATTTTAATGTCAACTAGGTTTTTACTGTGCAGAAATCAAGAACAAATATTTATACCATTGTACAACCCCCCCCCCCCCCCAAGAAAAAAAATGACATTTTTAAAACTACATTACAGCTAATTAATGAATATAAATAAAATACCTAAATATTTTAATTTAAAGTAATTTTTCCAACAAACCTCTTTACAGCCCACTCTCCAACAGTTTCCCCGGCCAGCAAGTCAAGTGGATCACACATCAAGTGAAATCCTGGGACCCATCAAAAGGGTTTATGCATTATAATCTATGAGACCTCGGGTATACATCCACACATTAAACTGATTCAATAAAACCAACATTATTTAATAAAATTCATGAAAACATTCATAATTCATAGTCCATGAACAAATGATGAACAAATATGAATATTGTTAATTTTCAGTTTAAAGAAAAAAACTTAATAGTTCAAGGTAATGAATGTTCATGAATTTTCATGAAGACTAAAAAAGTAAAAATAATTGTCACAAACGATATCCAGAAAACACTCATTACTCCCATAATACAACTTTTGCATGCAGATGCAATTGTTGAACAAACCCCTGATTTAATTAATGACATGCTTTTGTTTTGATTTTGAAAGTATTGGATCAGAGACAAGTAGGAGAACATAAGAGGTTAAAATCACTATTTTCTACTCTCCGAATCGGTAACTTAGATTATTCAGGATAATTAAACTCTGTTATGTACTGTCTAGAAGGGAGATTGTAATTAAATTATGATCGTAATTTAAAGAACACTGCATCAATATTGACAGCATTTTTTTCTCATATTGAATTACTAATGTTTCTTCATCATTTAAAATGGCCACCTATATTAATATTGTGCTTTAAATTATCTCATTTTTCACGACACAACTTTGTTCGTCCGAATTTTCTCTATTTGTCAAACTTTTAACAAGTTTTCAGAAAATGAAACAGATTTATAGTCTAGGAAAAATTTCATGATCTTCGTAAAAACGTATCTTACATTTATTTACAGCTAAAAAATCATATCTCTTGTCCGTACTACATGTATTCTTGTGTCAAACGCTTTATATTTTGATACAGTTCAGGTCCAGTCCAAAGACTATTTCTACCTACGTAGGTATTAATAGCTACCTACATGTAGGTATTTAAAGCTACCCGAAGTAGCTATTTTTACCTACTTTCTGCTTTACTTGCATTTTGTGGCCAAATGCATGAACGGCGCATCATGGTGAGCACACAATTTCTTGATACAGTCACACTGATGATGAATATGACAAAAATTTGACCAAAAAATTGAAAACTTCATAATTCATCAATTTTGCATAGAAACTAATGTAAAATTGCCGATTCAGGAAGTAATCATTTTTTCGCCTTTTTTTAATAGCTACGTAGGTAGAAATAGTCTTTGGACTGGACCTGCAGTTATCAAGGGGTAATTTCGACAAGTGACGTAATAAGGGGAAATATGTGTAAGTTATGTTGAAAAGCTGTATAATATTCAATGCTGATTAAAACCTCTTAAATGAAATTTGATATTATATTGTATAATACACAAAATTCTTAAATTTTGAAAGAAAAATAATGTACTGTAGGAAATTAGGCTGGACTGAGGACATCGGCCTGGATTGCTCAGTGGTTAGAGCATCTGACTAGAAATACAGGGGTCCCGGGTTCGATTCCCGGTCCAGCCATATGTTTGCAATATATATGTATTTATGAATTTTCAATGTATGTTTACTCATTCCTCCTTTCTAACTACAGATGGTGCCGTGGCCTACCTTGTTCAGGCAATGTATAATTACTAATGTTAAAGTCCTGACAAGGTGAACTTGAGTTGTGTCTTCGGGGTCGAAGACTATTTAAGGAAGGGGGAATGTAGGAAATTAGGCTGGACTGAGGACATCGGCCTGGATTGCTCAGTGGTTAGAGCACCTGACTAGAAATACAGGGGTCCCGGGTTCGATTCCCGGTCCAGCCATATGTTTTCAATATATATGTATTTATGAATTTTCAATGTATGTTTACTCATTCCTCCTTTCCATACTACAAATATAAACGTCTATTCATTTGTTTAAAGCATTTTTCCCTCTCAGTCATTGTTTTCTCTTTTTTCCGTTTCTGTCTATGAGGTTTCATAGAATCATAGAAGATCTATATAGGTTTTAATGTTGAAGCCTACTTTTACATTTTAGTTTAGACATTTCATATAATTTTTACGTTAAGCAGTCCCCCCTTACTTAGTATAAAGAATTAATAACTCGCCGAAGAAAAATTACTTAATGAATAATAAATAAAATATATATACACATGTATAATTAAACAAGTTAAACGGCCC